ACACACACACACACACAGGCAGTGACTTCTGGCAAGACTCCATACACTTTTCATCATGTTTTAAAAGCAATACATTACTCGGTTTCGCTTAACTCTACGGTCAAAGCACAATTCAAATGAGAGCAGCTCATTCCTATTAGAGATGTACCCAGAACAAAGATGTCCTGAATGAGCAGTTCACGGTTGGGGGCTACCTGCATGACGGAGCCGTGGTAAAGGGCACGACGGTTGGTTTGGATGTGCACGTCCACATTTGGCCAAAAAAGTGGAAAACTAATCTGTAAATTATTTTTTTTCACCTCAGTAATCTAAATACTGATCTCCACAGGGACCACACTATTTATTAGTTTTAATTCTTACAAACTATTTGGCCAAGGCAAGAGCTCTGTCGGTTACACTGTGAAACAAACGCCACTTTGGCACATCGCCGCATATTGGGAGCGATCCAGTTATTTGCTGTGTTACTGCAGGTCTGTGAGATGTTGTCTCAGGGTCAGCTGAATATGGGGCGGCCATGTTTGCCAAAGAAAAGCTGTTACAACCTGAATTTACTCCAGAGAGGCCTGATTACACTCAAGTGGAACAAAAGAGTGAGAAACGAATACGTCAGCTCATAGAGTCACAACTAAATTTGGCGTTCAGCTGTTGGGAGATGAAGTCTGTTGTTTCTGTGTCACGTTACCCTGCTTCTAAAGTCTGTTACTGTACAATCCAAATGTACATCGATACAAAAATCTCCAGTACTTACATGAATGAAGTCATTGGACGAACGGCTTACATGTTACAAATGTGTCATAGCTACATTCATCATAGCTACCTTCAAACATACAAAGCTCCAGTTGTTGTTTCTGTTTTGATTTGCTTTAGATGCACAGTGTGCTTGAAAGCATCGAGGCAAAAAGAACGCAGTGTTCCTTTTTTATAAAAATGGACCTATGTGGAGAACGTAAAGGGACGAGTAAGAAAACGGAGCACTGAGCTTCGAAGAGAAGGATTCCATCTAGATTCACAGCAATATTCCAACTTTCAACAACAAACACAAACACGGTCTCAAACAATCTCACGCACGCCACTGCACGTCACCACCACACTCCTCCATTGTCTATAGAGTAACAATAAATGTAGGATTTCACAGAAATAATAAAATGTTAACAAAAACAAAAAGTGCAAACACAGCTGCCATTATCGAAATGTGGCAAATTGTCAAAAAGCCTCAAAATACCTCCGAGGCGGTAGCACAAATCTTACAAAATAGTACTTGTTCTTTCTGTAGTGTGTAGAAAACAAAACAAAACAACAACACCCAACAACATCAAAACATCAAATTGACGACATGAAGTTTGTGTATTGAACACGGTTGTGAGTCAGTAAGATTTCCACAGGAAAACTATTACTGGCAGGGGCCGGTTGGCTTTTCCTCTAATGCTCTGTAGCCTTTCGGTGAGACAAGTGCGGCGGGGAGTCTGGTAGTGGGTGAGGTTGCAGTGACGGCGGCCGGGGTCACACAGGCTTAGTGTAACCGAAGATTCCAACAGGGAAGTGCTTGACATGTGTCGGCCACTGGGCGGCAAGCTGGAAAAACTTCACATCATTCCACTCCACTCCGTCAATAGTGACTGAAGAAGAAGAAGGATCACAGTTAAATACACAAACTGAAGAATAACATAATCAACATGAAAGATCCTGCTTGAGGGTTTCAGAGAAGGTCGTTCATTATTGAAATCAGTGGCTCTCAGTGGATTTGTTTTTATTGATGCGTTAAAGCTGCTTTCGTCCAATCTAAAGCAGACGTTATCACTGGTACAGACAATTGAATGTAAACACAATCCCAGTCATTTTATTTTGAACGGAACGTGTTATTATTTTCTCCACAACCATCTGGCGAGCTCCAGAAACGATCTTGCAATCCCCAGAGTCACTGATTTTACACCATGCAACACTGAGGCGAGTTGTGGCATCAGCACCAGGGGGCAGTGCAGCTTCAGCTGTGTGCTTGTGCAGTCTCACCTCTCAGCATTGTGTGCTGGTGCTTGGCTGTGCAGATCAACCTGCTGATACCATCAATCACTTGGCTCTTAGAGTCCAGCTCTTTCTCCTTGGGCTTCTTGCTGAGAAAAATCACTGCGGAGGGAGAGGAGAGAGAGCCCAGTCATTTGATTTTGTGCTGAAGAGGAAACTCAGCTGATTTTACACAGCAAATGTTTACTGGTCTCAGGAAGCACAACTGTGAGTGTGGAAAAACTGTGTTAGGCTTTTTGTGGCGACAGAGAGAGCTGCATGTGATTAAATGCCTCGTGTGATGTCATCTGAGTCAGCATTGGTTCTTGAAATAAGATGAAAAAAATAAATCGGGTTGTGGAGTAAGAAAGAAGTGAGTTCATCAGATCTCTGTAACTGCTCCTCATCTCTGAGGACTACAGTTCCAGGCTACGTAAGATGTTACTAGCATAACACACCTGCATCTCTGACTGAGCTGACAGGTTGCATTGTGGGTAGTGTAGGCATCAGTTTTTCTTAAAAACGAAGAAGAATACATGCTAACAAAAGAAGATATCTCGGGTTCTGCTGCATTGAATTAGAAAGTGTCTGACACATACTATAGAAGTGCAATTTTAAAGAGGCGAATAGTCTTATAAAGAAATATACATAGTACTCTTCTATACAAATATAAAAATATACAAAGATTTTATACCTACTCCGTTATACAAATATCATTTTTGCTCACTGTTAGATACATATAAAGAAATAGTTGTAGATGTCATCCAGCTAAATATCAAAGCTGCAGCTTATTTACTAGTTCACAGACACTGTTTATGGTCTATGAGTACAGATGCTTCACAATTTCCAAGCGTACCTTTCTTGTTCTTCTCCTTGGTAACAACAGTCATGGCCATGCTGGGCGGAGGGGTGAGTTCCCCTCCACACGGGAGGCGGCTGACTTGCAGTGAACGGAAATTACTCTTCAGGGTGTTCTTCAGCCCCACGTCTCTCTTCTCTCCCTCCTTCTTCTTCTCTGGGCCTTGCCACGTCCAGTAGTCCACCTGCAGACCCATGACCTCGTTGCCCGAACATGGAGAACTAACATCGGAAAAAGCAAAATAAGAAGCAGCACAGAGAGTGGACAATGAAAGCTAAAGTGAGAAAGAAAAATGGGATGAGTTTGCATTTATTGATAAGTGATATGAGTCTTGTCATACCCAGCTCCAGAGAGGGCGGTGGACACAGAGGGGGACTGCGGGGGAGTGCCCCCAATCTCCTTCCCATACAGACCAGCCGATGGGGGAGTCGGGGAGGACAGGATGCTTGTGTTGCCTCCCATCGCATCATCTGAGTCAACTGCAAATTGGGGGGAAAATGATCTCATGCATAAAGTTTCAAAGTGAAACTAAACACTGGAAAAATATGTCATCATATAAATGAGCTCTCTAAATATAACTTATTATACATCACTCTTTACGCTGGTTGCCTTTTTTCATTCTGGATTGACTTAAAAGTTCTACTTATCTCATTTAAAGCAATTAATGGCTTCGCCCCAACATACATCAAGCACTTATTCATACCCTGTGTGCCACTTCCCAGATCATGGTTGGTGACTAGCAGGTATACACAAGTTTATTAAATGCAGGTAAAACTGTGAAAAAAGGTGATAGATTCCTGTCACATTGCCAGTAGAGGAGTTTTCCTTTCTGTTTTTTCTTCACCGGTGCGTCATGTTCAATGTCAGACACATGCCTAAAACTGAGGAGCTCTCTTGCTTCACTGGGTTTCCAAATAAGCTTGTTTACAGACGAAAACAACTTGCCAGTAAGTTTTTTTTTTGACCAGAAGAAGAGGGGCTTATGGGTAAGCACGGCTTTTAGAGCCCTGAAACTATGGAACAGTTTACCTTTTGAATAGTTTACTATAAACTATTAAACTAAATAGTTTAATAAATAAAATAAATAAATAATATAAACTATTTAATATACTATTAAATAGTTTCACATTTCATTATCGTATGTATTTTTAATCTTTTCTTAAAACATCTCTTCTTGAAACATTTTTGTTATTGTAAAAGTTGTATTATATATACTGTGTATTTTTGTTTTCGTCTGTATTTGTTTTTCTGTTAGAGAGCAGGATTATACAAAAACTAACAGCCAGACGAAAACTTAGTTTAGTGTTTTCAAATGGTTAAAAAATAAAGTTTATTATTAACCAGCACAAAGAAACAACAGTAAAATGTCAAATCAAATCCTCTTACCTGAGGTTGAGAGGCTTTGCTCCACAATTCCAACTTTCACAACCTGTAATAATAATTAAAAAAAAAAGGTTTCAGTCTAAAATAACATTCAACACAGAATAATCTACAAATTCTGTTTGGCACCTTGTATTGGAAAAAATAATAATCATACCCCGATAAATGGCACAAATTTCTGACAGGAGTCCTCATCAGGGCTGCAGAGACAAAATACAAGAAGAGGCTGTGAGTGAGACCAGAGACGTGTCTGAACATTTCAACAAAAGGTGCACATGAACACACTCAATGGTCCTGGAGGGAGGATGACTGTGCCATGACCCATCGAGAGGAAATGGCACATGACTGGCTTGGGTGGAATGGGGTCATCTTTGGGGTCACGTTACAATGAGATGAATGAGAGGACTGCTCCTTACAACCAAAAGAAGACAGGGTCAGGGGGTAAGAGAGCTAATTTTTGTAAATGGCTTGAAAAGTGATAGTTTGGGCACAGACGTAGTAGTAACTGTGTAACTTCATTACACGACTATGCTGCAAAGCTGAGCGTGTCACCCGTTCAGCAATACATGAAAAATCATTGGGCACAGAAGTTTAGCACACATGCAGACCACGACAACAGATTCTAAAAAGTACAAGCACCAAATGACTCGGCGGGGAAGAGCTGAGAAAGTGTTATCTGACTGCTAATGTCCTCTAACGTGCAGCAACCAGCCACGCAGCTCCTAACCTAGTCGGCGATTCTCTCTTCATGAGCCTGCAAAATAGACTGCACCCACAACAACAACAACAACGCAAGGACGAGGGGAGGTGCTGGCTTTTGTTCCAGTGCAGGATGCAGAACAGCAGACAACGGCCATCTCACCTGCTTGGGCGCCAGTGCTGTATTTCATCATCATGATTCAGTTGCGTTACATTGGGCAAGCTGAAGGTTTTGCATAGCAATACCACAACTGAACAAAACACTTGTACCGACAGGTTGTAAATCAATCACCAACGTTTGCATCAAGTCATTCCTAAGTCCTAACTTTTATTGATTGAACATTTCTCATGATACTGATATGGCTGGATGTATGAGCCAGAAAACCATTCCACTTTGCCAATTTGTTAAAAGGTTGTAAGGCAAATCTCCACAGCAACAACACAGAGGGAAGAGTAAAACCCAAAGTCACAGCAAACCAAAGACACGAGTAAGGACAGAGTGCAGAGTGAAGTTACAGTGAGTATCGAGTGTGAGAGGAGGAATGTTAAGACACAGCGAGAGGAGCGCAAGCCAAATGGAAGAGGAGGAGAGAGAATAGGGAGGGCAAAACAAGAGTCGAATCAGATACCTGATGTAAAAATCAAAATACAAACTCCTTTTCCTTGAATGCAAATCAAAAAGGGGGGAAAGGGGGGAAGAAGGAATGCGTCAGTGTTAAATCTGCGTGTTGTATTTCGGATCTCTCCGTCCAGTAAAAAGCCACTGTCACAAAGAGGGGAGGGGGTTTGGTCAAACCTCAGAAAGAAAACAAGCAAATGCACAGCGAGATGCAAAGGACTGTCTGCTGAGTGTGTGAGATGAAAACTGGCTCGATGTGGTACTTTGTCGACAGAGGCCTGTACTAACCTGAAAATCAAATCCCTGCTCCATAACATTTAATTACAACCCATAAATACTTTCATCAAACAGTGAACTTGAAATAAATAAAAACCTGAAGCTTCTTGACATTTTTACGTCATAATAAACAGATGTGACTACACTGTGTGTGTGTGTGTATTTGAATATGTAGACACATGCCTGCATGCATATGCATATTTACACCTCAATATCTTCCTCATGCAGATTTTCTTTCCAAATCATGGTCTGATCCAGTAGTTCCCACTAATTGTCTAGACTGTGGCGGTCCACCATGTCGTAATGTATCTATATTCTAAATTAGTGCAGTGCTATTTGCTGCATGCTTGCTAGCACCGTTGCTCTAAGAACGTGCTCACGCTACCACATGCTCACGCTACGGTGCATAATGTTTTTACCGTCCAGGCCGTCCAAGTTATCGAATGCAATGCAGTTCTTTCTCTTGTGAGAGAACTTATCTTTTGTTCTATACTTTCGCATAAGTATCACTCAGAATCTGTTGCACACGAGAGTGAACTTTGTGCATGTGCACCCCCGTTACTGCCATTAATTCTGTGGGAAACACTGACTGATCAGTTGTGTTCAAGAACTAATTTTAATAAGAGAAGATAGAGGAACAATAATATCACTACACCACGTTTGAAGTCATTCTGACACAGACGTGCTCAGAGCATAAAAATATTCATGCAAACACACAAACGTGCAGCACATGAGAACACTCAAATAATCAAGTTAATAATCAACGACACTTTACCTCTTCTGTTTGTAGGTGAGCATGGCTTCCGAGATGGGGAACTGGTGGGACACGTTGGCACCGGCCAGATACTGAACCACTCGTCCTGCTACATCTATGTTATCTGCAGGGGAGCAGGGAGACAGATTGTTAACAACATGCCTCTCTCCTGTTTCATGTCTGACTAACAAGCTGCAAGACAACTGGTGTATAATATGCAAATCTTTCACATGCAGCACATCGCTCGGAGACTGTGCATTAATCATTTACATGTCAGAGAATTAAGGAGACGGGCTGGCTGAGTGTAAAATGTCATTAAAACGTGGGTGAAGTCGGCCGTACGACACACAAGACAAATCGTGTGTTGAACAGAAGGCCTGCAGGGCAAATCCAGCCTGACACACATTTTCTGGCACCTTGAAATGTGGGAACTTGGTGATTTTTAATGTCACGTTTTAATGTCAATGTAATGACTTTGTTTTGGCCTGCTGCCTCTGTACTTTAAGCAAATTCCCCTCGTGAAGGAGAGAACCAGCCTTTTCCATCTAAACACTGGCTTGGGTGTTGAGGATATAAAAATTCACGTCGGAACAATGGAGGACAGAGCACATTTTTACATCTTTGATGTTTTTTCCTGCAAACACTTGATGATTCAACGTGGTGTGTGACTCTTGCATCTATGGGGAGTAAATTAAGTGAGTGAATAGGGTGCAGATGAGTGAAAATGATCAGGCTTGTTTGGGCAAGAACAAGTGAGAATTGAGGAAACGGATGAGGACAGAAGATTTAAGATGGATATGTGTGAACCAGGAGTCGCATGGAGTATCATTTTTGTTGCCTTTATTCTTTGTGAATGAACTTTGTGTTTCATTGTGTTAAAAGTGCTGGACAAATAAAGTCTGATTGTTTATTTGATAAAATGACCGGATTAATAATGAATGCCTTCATTTCAGCTACTTGGATTATTCACAAAATCATGGCTGATGTATGTTTTTGGACAAGAAATGTAATGTCACATAAATTTAAAACCTTTAATATTACAATCCATTCTGATAATGCTTGGGGTAAATATCTGAGCCTGGGTTCTGACAATGTACTGTCAGAGAAGTAGCATCATGATGGAGAGTTGCTCTGTACACCAAAGCACACTATTTTACAAATGGAAAAAATCTCATTCCATCCAACAGTCTCTGACCACTTCTCTTTCCCTTTCAAGTTGGCTGAACATTAGACAGACCTGCTTTGCAGTCAGACATCAGAGCCATGCATCCTACCTGAGGCGGGCCGATCTGTCCTGCAGAACAGCTCCCTCCATGCAGTGTCCATAAAGATGTTGTTGAACTTGCTGTCAAAGGAGGCCACATACTTTGCCAGGGGATGAGAACCTGTGCACAAGAAGAAAATGCTCATATTTACAACAAAGATGAAAATGTGTAGCGTGTTCTGGCTGGTATTTCCAATAACACTCTGCACTAATCCTGACTGTCATACCTATGGGGATCACCAAAAAGCGTATGTAACTGAGCCAGTCAGGGGTCTTGTTGGCCAGCTGCTCCACAAAGAACCTCAGGATGGTGCTGAGGTAACTCTGGTCACCTGCCACTGCTACCTTCATCGTCGGTGGGGTCTGTGCATTGCAGTTGCAGCTGCAAGGGTTGAGGTAAGACAGAAAGAAAGAGTAATTAAGAGAAAGAGAGAGAGAGCTAACTCATGAAAGATGCGGGTCACAGAGTGTGTGTGGGAGAAATTATGAGTGTCTGAATGATTTACATCTCTTCAGGGGTTTTCCAGGTTTTAAACCGGTCTTACCTTTTTTTTAAAGCCGGATTATGTCGCACATTATCATTTGAAATACTGGGTACTTGCAAGTATTTGCACGTCTCCTCAAGCTAACCAAACATTACAGCAGCTTTAAGGACTTTGTTGCTAAACAATTTAGGAAGTGAGACATTAAAGGTTTTCCATTTGCAGAAAAAGACCTGTTCTGCTTCGGCTCTGTGTCAACATTTGAGGAAAAACCCAGCAGGCAGCTACAGCAGCGAGTGAGTGAGCACATTAACAGAGATGTACATGACTCTACATGACATGGCCCCAGCTGGAGTAAACACACTGAGGAGCAGGTGTGGAGAGAGTCGGAAAGTTGCAGTTTGGCAGAATTAAAGAGAAAACAGGTTTAACAGAAACAGCATGGCAGAGTGAGACAGCCTCATCTGCAATTAACACAACTTCCTGAGGGGACACAGGCGAGCAGATGGAGCAGAAAAAAGAGAAGAAATTGTACTTGAGCTTTCATGAGAAAAGAAACACATTTTGATAAAATGGGTTCACAGACTGAGAGCACTTCAGCAGAGTGAGGGATGGTGTCCCGGAATTCTCTGGCGGCGAGCCACCACAAAGACACGTTGTTTAGCGAAGATGACTCCCAAGATTACAAGCAGCAAGATCATACTCTCTGATGGCTTGCGTCATTCAAGCAATGTGTGTGTTATGTATGTATATATGTATGTATGCCACTCACAATCTCTGGATGCGAGTAACGATGGTGTTGAAGGCAGCCTGAACATCGGCAGCAGAGCAGGTGGACACAATGGGCTGGGCCTGTTCATGGAGCAACTCGGCTACATACTGCACAGAAACACATGTGAGAGGGACACGATGAGTTCATGGAGATAAAAGAGGCAGGGGTGATAGGGCTGGAGAGAAAGCAGGAAAAACATGCTACTGGGGCTACACAGTGTACATCCCATGAACGATACTTTTTGTCTTATGCAATAATGTCAGAAAATGCTTGTAGCGTGGCAAGCCCGTAGTGTTTCTACAGTATATATGAAGAGATGAAGGTCAACATGTCTGTAGTAAAGCACACACCTGTCCTTGCCACTCCATGGTGTTGATGAGGATGATGCTCTCTGGAAGGCGTTCGTCAGAGATGAGGATCTGGTTCAGTTGGTCGTACACAGACTTCCTGGGAACCTTTGGCACAAATAAGAAGCAGAGTCTCAGACTAAAAACATCTGTGAAGAACAGATCTGCGGCTTGATGTTACATCGGTGTGTGTAGCTCACCTGTGCTATGAGTCGTGAGTCTGGGGAGTACTCGCTCTCCATACTGCTGGTTCTGTCGCTCTGAGCCTTGGAGTTCTGTCTGTCTTTCATGGAGGTGCTGCGAGGACGCCTCTGCAGCTTGTTCTCAACCTTACTAAGAAAGAGAGCAAACAAGAGGAGTGTAAAATACACAACAGAGCAACAAAGCTGAACAAATAGACAAAGATACATAAAAAAATAAATAATTTAATAACAACTGCTGTGGGAAGAACCACCCAAATAACACATTAAGCCATTAAGGTCAAGTGAGTTGTGTGGTGTGCATGTCTCTATCTTTAGAGCCAGATGAAATGTGTCTCATCCACGATATCATAGTCTTGTTTTTTATCATGACATGTGACTGGTGGGGTTGCCACATTTGTTGGTTTTTCAAAAACTGTTATAGAGTTTAGGTTAATGACAAATATTTTATCAGAAGTTTTCATTTTATGTCTTTATCTGCTTCAGATGCTGAGAAATTAAGAGTTAATGTAAATGTTGGTGATTCGGTGAGCTCCTGAGAAACCTTTGGGAGTTAGGCGTTCATTTTCAAACATTTAGGTTTTAGAGTGTGTTATTGTCAAGTCTTAACTGGTTAGAAAGCTAAACACTTTCATAAGAAAGTTCATGCATGATGACATAACACTACCGAGTGTGTATGTGTCCACATGTAAGACATTTACCTGGGAGACATGTGGTTTTGGGACTCTGTCTTGCAGAGCTTGCCAACACTGCTGGTCATTCGCTCAGTGTTGACATCCCAGCTGCTCACCTCCCCCGGCCCGGGCCCGTTGTCGTCAGTCTCTGGCTCCTGATCCAAAAGGAGGGGGGAGCAAAGATGAGCCACGAAAATTATGTTTATCATACAACACCATCACATCCCATCAAACTAGACCAGATTCCTCCCTTCAGGTACATTCTCTATTCTGTCTGCATGGAGAATACGCAGCCAGCATTTTAAGGAGAAGAGTTGAGAAACAGTGGAGGTGTGAAGGGAGGTTGAGAGGTGCTGGCCTGCTGAATTATTCAGCTGAGCTGTTGAGGTTGGAGATAATGATGCAAGTGCTCCATGACAGATGAGATAAAAAGCTGTGGTCTCTTAGCAGGTGGCCACTGTTCCTGCAGCTCAGATATTCATTTTGAACTGGGTTAGTGGAACAGGGAGATGATCGGGCAGTGTGCAGCTCAGAGGGGGAGCCGGGGGTCGGAGCAACAGGTTGGACAGACTCAACAGCACAAAGACGACAACAAACACAAACATCTCTCCTTCAATCGCCGCCAGTCAAGACTCCTCCTGCATGGTGAGGCCTTCTCTGATCCATAATGGATGGCTGAGGCTGTTTGGTTTGCTCGGCCTTACATACTCCCTCCCTCTGGGATTTCTCTTGGAAAACAACAAAGACCCATGGGAGGAAAGAGCACTCAAGTGGACGGGATAGGTTTGAGAAAGAGACGCTCAAGGGGGATTTAGCAGAAGAAAAAAGGAAACTAGTTGTTCCAAAAACATACCACAACAGTTGTATCTGTGATGCTGTCGTCTTGATACCGAGCTCCTTGTACTTTACATCTCTCCACAGTCAAAAAGTCTCCACTCTGCAGGGTACACACACACACACACACACACACACACAC